TTTATTTAACCCAGTATGTCCAAAATATAATTTCAACACGCAATCAATATAAAAGTATTTATTTATTTATTTTGGTACTGTCTTTGAAATCTATTATGCAGTTTGCACTTAAAACATCTCAATTCATTTTAGCCACATTTCAAGTTTGATAGTTGCATGTAGCTGGTGGCTACTATAGTGGACAGTGTAGGCTTAGAGTGTGCTTCACATCTGGCTAATGAGAGACAGTAGGATCTCTGATGTTGGACCCAGACATCTTGGCTCCTGCCCTTGATTTTTCTTACACCTTAAATTAGAAGTCTTTGTTTTTATGTGAGTCTGGAGTTATATTCCTAATCCCACAGGTCAGAAGAATTACTGTACATTTCTATTGCAGGTTCTGTGAAGTCCATCTGCATAATAACTTCCACCTGCAACACTCTCCTTTAAGCTACTTGCTGAACCACCAGGTACCTCCTGGCTGCTAATCCACTGATTTCTAGGAGTCAGTACCCTGGCCTCTCTGCCACACCTGTTGCTGCTAATGTCTCTCCTTGACTCATTTCTCCTGAATTGCTTCCTACCTCTCTGGCTAATCCTTCTGTCTTCTCCGTGACTCCGCATTCTCCATACTTCCCTTCCACAATGATGATCTCCGGGTGCTACCCTCTTACCCTCTTACTCTACATGGCAGAGTCCTAGGTAATCTTTCTTCACTTTTATCACCTTTTCTTTCAAGGATCTTAAGTCTATCTCCAGTTCCAATTTCTCTTGAGCTCTGGACCTATCCAGCTGTTTACTGGATCTCTCTCCCCTTTGGAAGGTCCCAAAGACATTGGGAATTCAACAAGAAAAATTGTACCAATCATCTTTTCCCTCAATGTATTTCTCCTTTTGTATTATTTATTTGGTGAATGGCATCACTGGTTGTCTGGTCATTGAAACCAGAAACCTGGGATCAAATTGACTCTTTTTGTTCACTACTTTTATCTAATTATCACCAAGATCCACTAATCTTTTTTTTTTAGAGAGTGGAAGGAAGCGAGAGATAGAAACATCAATGTGAGAAACATCGACTGCCTCCTGTATGCCCCCTATTGGAGGTCGAGTCCGCAACCTGGGGATGTGCCCTGACCAGGAATTGAACTGGGACCTCTCAATCCATGAGATGACGCTCAGTCTCCTGAACCACACTGGCCAGGCAAGACCCATTAATTCTGCACCCTAATGATTTCTGCCTCCTTTCCTTTGGACATAATTTAAATTCAGTGCTCACCATTTTTTTCTGGGGTTATTACAGTAGGTTCCTAACTGGTTTCTCTGGACTTTCCTGATCTGCCAATAGAGTGTAAGCTCCATGAGGGTAGGCATTCCTGTTTCCCAGTGCCTAGAAAAATGCCTGGCCCACAGAGAGCACTCAATGAATATCTGTTGAGTAAAGGTCTGTTAGTCCATCCTTCTAGCCTTACTTCACACATCGTGTATAATCCTCTCTGAAGCCCTACTTGAGTTTTTAGACTTCTGAGCAAGTTATGTCTTTGCACATATTGTTCCTTCTGCCTATAGATGTGTGGCTCACAAATACTTATTCTTTATGACTCAGCCCCCATGGGAAGCTTTGTAACTTGTAAATAAGATGTAGTGTGTTTTTACAAAGTGTTCTAAGTGGTATCTCAGAGAATAACTAAAGGAAGTCAAGTAGGGCTTCATGGAGGAGGTGTATTTTGAGCTTAGGGGAAAGCATATGTTCAGAGGCATGCAAAAGTAGTGCCTACTTTTGTGGAGTGGTTCTATAAAACTGGAGTCCAGGGTTCCTTAAGATAGTATAGAAAATTGTCCTGACTGGTTTGGCTCAGTGGTTAGAGCGTCAGCCCATGGACGAGAGAGACCCGGGTTCAGTTCCCGCTAAGGGCACATATCTTGGTTGCAGTTTGTCCCTGGCCCTGGTTGGGGTCGTGTGGGTGGCAACCACTCAATGTGTCTCTCTCACATCAATGTTTCTCTCTCTCTCTTCCTCCATCTCTCCCTCCTGCTCTGTCTGAAGATAAATGCAAAAATGTCCTCTGGTGAGGATAAAATAAAAAGATAGTATGGAAAATGGAAAATGAAACCAGATAGTGCAGAGCCTGACTGTCACACTCAATAGTCTGCACTTCACATTCCCGTAGGGAACAGGCAGCCACTGAGGTTCTGTAAGAGCTCAGGAGTGATGTTTGAATTCATGCATCTCCTACCAAATACTGACACCTGAGCTCCTATTTGTTGTTTCTCGGCTTGACTTTTCCTCTCACACCAGGATCTCAAGCCCATTCAGGTCCATCAGTTTCTGTATGGGTGCTGGGAAGCAGGGGGAAAGAGATGATCCATTACCGAAGCTAAATGAGTAGAAAGGCTGAGCTGCCAAATACCACACAGTAAGAAGGAAAAAGAATTCAAGTTGAAATGCTCTTTCCTCCCTGATCATGCAGTCAGTTATCTGCCCTGAGCTCCCTATGTCAGAGGCCAGGCCCTGGATACTGGGGTAGGAAAGAGAAATCGCTCTAAACTCCCAGACTGAAAGTGCAGATTGCATCTCAGAAGTCATACAAAGGGCAGAGAAAAGAGCAGCTGAGGGTGCTAAATGTCTGGGTGGAGGAGTGTGATGAGACTGGGACAGAGGCTTCATAGAGCAGGTTTAGTAAGGCGAAGCAGAACTGGGCTGCAGAGAAAAGATGGAGGTGAGAATAGCCCATGTCAAGTTTTGGAGGTGGAAAAGAATGAAACCTACGCTGCAGTTTTCCTAAGTGCTTTTAGTCTGGCAGCCTGTGCAACTACCAATGTGGCTCCTGTGGGGGGGGGGGGTGCCTTGGCAGGGACTGTGGGGTGGATGAAGGGGTCCTGGGTTCCTGTTCCTGTCTTTCTTCCTCCTCTTTTGTACTAGGGGGCCACCTTTCTGGAAGCCAGGATATCTGGGTTCCAGATTCTTCCCTCTCTAACCTCCCCCAGAAGTAAATCACAAGTGATTTCATTAAATGCACCTCCTGCTGGGGATGTTGGCTCATAATTCCTCTCTGATTAACCCCCACTACCCCGGCAAGTTTATAGGCCAAGAGTAGAAGGGAGGGGGCACGGGTGAGGGAAAAAGGAGGGATGGGGGAATCCCAGGCGGGTGATGGATGCCTCTGTCAGCCCAGCTCGTATTTATTAATAGTCTTAATACGGGAAGCAATAAAGGAAGAGAGGGATTCTATTAATTAAATCATTGTTATAATTAACTTTCATTAAAGGAGGATCAATAAAGAGGAGTTGAAATGGAGAAAGGAGAGATCCATTATCTCTAATTTCCTTGGAAGGGATTCAGGGAACGAGATGGGGTTGCTAGGAGACAGCAATGTGAGGGAAGAAGGAAGGATGTAAGATGTCATCCAGGTGGGGCTGGAAGGGGGGTGGATAGGAGGGTTTCAGGTGAATAGAGAGGGAATGGTGGGGTGGCAGTGGCCCACCCAGGGGCCCTGAAGGGAATGAAGGGTGGATAAAAGAGCTACTGGGATGGTGAACAAGGGGGCTATAGGCATGGTTTGTACTGGGCATTCTGGAGAGCCTTGGTGAGCATGCAGGTCTTTAATAAATGCTTTATGATGCTGTCTCAGTCTAGCCTGTGAAGCTGGTTAGAGTGGATGAATGTGTTTTCATGACTGTGGAGTCAGAGTGTATGTATGGGTGTGTGAGGATGGCAACAGGGAAGAGAAGGAGAAATATCAAATAGTCTTCAGTGGTATGGGGTTTAGGGCATTTTTAATAAAGTAGATACTCAAAGGTGGATACTCTTGACAGGAGTAATCACTGTCCTTTGGCCCAAGGTATAGTGATGGGTGCTATAGCGAGTGAAGGTCTGAGTAGTAGAAACCTTCCCTGCCTTCTAAGGCCTGCACTTTGGTACCTTGAGCTCCACCCTGGGACTAAACCCTGAGCAAGTTCGCTCCCTCCCCCACTGAAGTATTCTCCAAGCCAGACCTCCACCTGAGACAAAGGTTCCTCCCTCCTACTCTTCCCACTGGTGGCTGGCACAGCAGGCATGATGAGATAAATCGGCCTGGAGTCCCCTCCCTCCCTTGCCCCTCCACCAAGGTCTGAGAGCTAGGTGTCTGGACCTTCTTTGCTCTAGTTACACTTCATGATAAGAACACATTTTATTAGAAGAGTTTTACATACCATATAAATATATTTGTCCAAACTACAGGTGGGAGGAGGGATATTGGGGGGAAAGCTCTTATTGCTGTGGGGAAACTTGGAGAGGAAGGAAGGGCTGGGAAGTGGGAGAACCTGGGACCATTTGTTCCCCAACCCCTCACAGAAGGCACAATGCATTATTTCTTTCTATGTGAGGACACTGGGGGGTAGGAGTGTGTGGCAAGGAGGGGCAGGAGATAAGAGTACAGAAAACCTCAAAAATGAGAAAGAAACGTCCAAACTTAGTATCTAATGGTATGGAAAAAGGCCGGGGTGGGATGTGGAAGGCAATGGGGCATAGTAAGAGGAACCAATGAAGCTCAGAACTGAGAGACCCGAAGAGGTCATGATGCCCATGCTGCTGCCTCAATGAAGGCCCCAGAGGAAACTCAGGGGAACAAACATAGACCCCAAATGAGGGGCTAGGGTGCTCCTGGGATTGGCTTTGGGGCATCAGAGACTGTGTGAGTGTGAGTGTGTGTGCGTGCAGTGGCAGTGGTGTGTGTGGTGGCTGGTGTGACAGAAGCAACCAGGACTAGGAAGGGCTGATTTTATGCCCCCTGGGGAAGGCCTCCTCCATCCTGGTTCCTCCAAAACCATTTCAGGGGGTAAATTCAGCCACTGCTTCCATGAAGAACCTCTGTTTGGATAAAAGAGTTGGGTCGGAGACAATGAGGCTGGAGAGATTGGGATAAAAACGGCACATGGGCCCTGGCCGGTTTGGCTCAGCAGTTCCCACTAAGGGCACGTACCTCGGTTGCAGTCTGTCCCCGGCCCTGGTAGGGTCGTGAGGGTGGCAACCACTCGATGTGTCCCTTTCACGTCAATGTTTCTCTCTCTCTCTCTCCCTCCCACTCTATCTGAACAAAAAATGAAAAAAAAAAATGTCCTTGGGTGAGGATAAAAAAAAACACGGCACATGGGAGTGGTTCTTCACAGAATATCATGGAGCCCAATGGAAGAGGCATGAGACCTAAATGTGTGCCTGTGCGTGAGTGTGTGTACGTGTGTAAGTGTGTGTTTGTGTTTGTACTAGGGAGAGGTGAGATCACTCAAAGGTGAAGGGGTCCTGGGTGCTAAAGAAGAAGTGTCCATCCATGTGGTCCTCCAGGGCATCCTTATCACTCTCAGCTGGGAAACGCTCCTTACAAATAGGGCACTCCTTCCATGGAGGTGTGGCAGGGCCCCCACTGCTGGCCTCTGACAAGGGGCCCACTGCAAAGCCACTAAAGAGAGACAGAGGGGAAAGGAGAGAGTCAGGTGAGCTCTGTTGCCTTCTTCACTTGCAGACTTCAGGGAGAGGGACCCATGCACCTGGGTTCCCAGATTCCCTTGTTCCTAACAGTATCCTGGTAGTTCTCTCTCCTAGCTTCTTCCACAGCATCTTTCTCCCCACAATACTGGAGGCCTTAGTTTCCTGTGCCCTCCTTCTTTAGCCCCTGCTGGTCCCCACAGCGCAGAGCCCATCCTCCAGCCTCCTGCTCTCCTCCCTCCATCTCCGTCTGCTGCCTAATGAGGCTGAAAATGAGTCTGACATCGTCCTTCATCTTCCTGCTCTAGCCAAGAAGGATGACAGCATCACCCCCACCCTGCCCTGAGCCCATCTCACATCCAGGCAAAGCTGGGGACTAGGTGATAAAAATCTCTATTCCCTCTGCCTTCCCCTCTTGACCTGCAGAAGAAAAGGAAGGCAGAGGGGGCAATCTGATACCTGAATCCCCCACCCCTGCAGCTTTGCCACCCAAAGTGTCCCCCCAGGGAAGTCAGGAAAGAGACAGCACCTCAGGAGTGGCCAGATGGATGCTGGATCCCAGTCTCCTCTCTGTTCTTAGCCCTGGGGAGCTTGGTCACCTACCTCCCTTCCTCCAGATGAAGCCTAGGTACCTACCTGGTGGTTGGGAAAGGGGTAGGGGCAGGTGAGAGGGGATGCAGGGCAATTTGGGCTCCATGGAAGATGGCACTAGAACACAGAAGCCAGTTAAAGGCAGGGCCTCTGAATACACATGTGTTATGCTGAGGGGAGGGATTACTAGAAGGCACCTGGGATTTAGAGTGGTGGGTAATTTTCTGTGTTAATTGCACCTCTGTCTCCTTTTCTTGGCTGAGACCAACAGGAGAAAGGTTGGGGGAAGGACAGAGGGACTATTCACCTGGATGCCCTTTCTGCTGTCATTTGCCCACCTCCCTCCTGTCCTCTCTTTGCACTCACCTGGCCATGTCATAGAAGGCATTGCCCAGTTCAGGAAGCAGTAGGTTGGCCTCTTCACCCCCACTCTGCACAGCTGCCATCAGAACTGACTTCTCATCTTCAGCCTCCTGGGCACCAAAGAGATAGGTTGGGTTTGGGGGAAGTGTTTCAAGATGGGGGAGTAGCCCATTGGGACACGTAAGGGAGGAACAGTCCAGGCCAGAAAACAGAGGGCTATAGAAGAGTGGGGCAGGAAAGGTGTTTTGAAGAGAGCTGATGGATAAAAAGAGAAAGTGTGGGGAGCAGGGGCTAGCAGTAGTGAGGCTGTTGGGTTGGATTGGGTTTGGGGTGGTGTCCATTGAGTGGCCGTGAAGAGAGGCTGGGCCTGCTTCCTCTTCCCCAGGGGAAAATGAGAGCTCTGTATAGCTGTCTTCCTGCTCTGGAGGCTGGGCCACTTGGGCTTGGCCCTACCCCTCCTCCCTGCCCCAGCTCTGTCTTTTCTCACTGCTCACCGAGTCAGAGCTACTGTCCTCGATTGGCCCTGAGAGGTGGGGAGCGATGGGAGCTGGCTGGCTGATGACAACTAGGGAAGAAGCCTCTCGTGGCCCAGCAGGAGAGGAGCCTGGGTCTCCACGCTCACACAGGCCATAGGGTGGGAGCCTCATGTCTTCTGGGGACTCATCCTCTGAGTCTGTCAGAGCTGCTGGGCAGCCTGTAGGTGAGGGAGTAGGCAGAGAAAGAAGGATGCATTGTTAGAGGGTTGGATCATCTCTGACTCCTTTGGGTAAAGGATACGGCTAAATCAGACAGGGGCCAGAGACTGGGAAGAAAAAAGGCAAAACACAGAAGGCAGAGGCAGCTCCCAGAGAGGTCACACAGAGCTTTCCGCAACAGGGCAAGGTGGAGCGGGGAAGAGGTGTCACAAGTTTGGGAGGGTACAGACTCAGCCCTGCAGCTGCCTCCTCATCCTCTGTGGCGGCATCCTCATTCCACTTCTCATCTGCGACCTTCTCAAGGCGGGCCTCCAGCTTTCTCATGTACTCTAGCAGTTCCTGGTGTTGGGGAAGAAAGAGGTGCAAGAGGCTAGAAAGATGCCAAATTTGCTGACCTGTAGAACTTTCTTTTGCACTGAAGATTAACTGAGCTCCTGAGGACTAGACACCTTCACCAAAGGTGGGGAAGTTTAAGGTAGATCCTCACGTCCCCACAAGGGCCATTCTTCACCCGCTACATCCCTCCCTGCCCCTAGCAATCATCCTGTCCTACCAAATCAGCTGAATAATGGTTCCATTTTTAGCTTCTGGGCCCTCTTAGAGATACCAGTTTTTTTTTTTATCCTCACCCGAGGACATTTTCCCATTTTTTTGTTCAGGTAGATTGGGAGGGAGAGAGGGGAACAGAGAGAGAGAGAGAAACATCGATGTGAAAGGAACACATCGAGTGGCTGCCACCCGCACGACCGACCAGGGCCGGGGACAAACTGCAACCGAGGTACGTGCCCTTAGCGGGAACCGAACCCGGGTCTCTCAGGACTGCAGGCCGACGCTCTAACCGCTGAGCCAAACTGGCCAGGGCAAGAGATACCAGTTTCTAAGCCAAGAGATGACAAGAATACACAAAGTTTTTAGCCCCCAACCCCTCAATTCTGGCAACCAGGGGGCCTGACTTATAGATTCTCACCTGCTTCTCCTCCTGCAATTGCTCCTTTTCCTTCTGGAGCACACGCAGGGCTGACCGCAGCTCTGTCAGCTCCCGCTTACTCTCTGACAACTGCACCTGAGGGAAAAGGGTCAAATGGAATAGAAGTCTAAAAGGTACCTCAAAAAGCCTGGGCTCTGGAGATGGAGAAGATGGCGGCGTAGGTAAACATGGTATCGCTTCCTCCCACAACCACATCAAAGTTACAACTGAACTACAGAACAATCATCATTCAAAACCGCCTGAAACTGAGCTGAATGGAAGTCCTACAACTACGGAATTAAAGCAGCAGCCACATCGAGACTGCTAGGAGGGGCGGAGGTGGACAGACTGGTCCCACACCTACATGTGGTGGATAAAAATCAGGATACCTCAGCTGGGAAGGTCCTCTCTGAGGACTGAGGGGTCCCCATACCAACCAGGCACCCTGCTAAGGGTTCCAGTGCCAGGAAGAGAAGTACCCATAACTTCTAGCTGGAAAAGGCAGCAGGAACTGAGGCTCAGGGAGGCTGAGGTGGCTGGAGCCTCAGGCAGCTCCACTTAAAGGACCCGTGCACGGACTTATTGGACTCACTCCCTCTAAGCTTAAAGGGGAGGCAGCTCCAGGGGCACCAGAGACATACAGGGAAGAACTGAGCTGTTTGGCACTGGAGCGAGGGCTGGAGAGGGGGCATTCTCCAAAACAAACATCCTGTCAGAGGCCTTTGTTCCTTTGGTGAGCCCTTCCCTGGGGCAGCAGACAGCTGCCATATCTGGGACTCCAGCAACCTGGTTCATACAGGTTGCCCCGCCCTGGTGATTCTCTGAGGCCCCGCCCCACCCACTTTTCAGGCCCATCCAAGCTGTTGCCAGTTGCTTAACCATAGGATTGGCCTGTCTTGGATCCTGCTTCAGGTTTTCCTAAATTCTTTCAAACAAGCATCTGGTCTCAGTGAGCCCCATACCTCTTGTTAAGTAATACATAGAAACAAACACAGGGAGGCAGCCAAAATGAAGAGACAAAGAAACACGTCCCAAATGAAAGAACAGAAAAAATCTCCAGGAAAAGAACTAAGCGAAATGGAGATAAGCAACCAAACAGATGCTGAGTTCAAAATACTGCTTATAAGGATACTCAATGAACTTAGTGAGGGCCTCAAGAGCATAAAAAAGGACCAATCAGAAATGAAGGATGCACAGTCAGAAATGAAGGAGGCACTAACTGAAATAAAGAATAATTTACACAGATTCAATAGTAGAGTAGGTAAATCCAAGAAGCAAACCATCGATTTGGAATATAAGAAAGCAAAAAACACCCAATCAGAACAGCAAAAGGAAAAAAGAATCCAAAAAAATGAGGATAGTGTAAGGAGCCTCTGGGAGAACTTCAAGCGTGCCAACATTTGCATCTTGGGGATGCCAAAAGGAGAAGAGAGAGAACAAGAAATCGAAACCTATTTGAAACAATAATGGCAGAAAACTTCCCCAACTTGGTAAAGGAAACAGACATACAAGTCCAGGAAGCACAGAGAGTCCCAAACAAGATGAACCCCAAGAGGCCCACACCAAGACACATCATCATCAAAATGCAAAAGGTTCAAGACAAAGAGAGAATCTTAAAAGCAGCAAGAGAAAAGCAGTTAGTTACCTACAAGGGGTCTCCCATAAGACTGTCAGCTGATTTCTCAAAAGAAACTTTGCAGGCTGGAAGGGAGTGGCAAGAAATATTCAGAGTGATGAAAAGCAAGAACCTATAACCAAGATTACTCTATTTGGCAAAACTGTCATTTAAAAATGATGGCCATATAAAGACTTTCCCAGACAAGAAAAGTTAGAGTTCATCACTACCAAACCGTTATTATATGAAATGTTGAAGGGTCTTTTTGAAAAAAAAGATAAACTATATAAACAAACAAAATGGCAATGAATACATATCTATTGACAATGGAATCTACAAACAAAATGAACAGGCAGAACAGAAACATTCTCGTAGATACAGAGAACATTTTGTTGGTTGCCAGATGGGAGGGGAGTTGGGAGAATGGGTGAAAAAGGTGAAGGGATTAAGAAGAACAAATTGGTTACTAGACTGACAAACCTCAAAGGGAAGGGGGTTGGGGGATGGGAAAAAATAAACCAAAGAACTTATATGCATAACCAATGGACACAGACAACAGTCTGTGAAAAGGTGGGAGGGGGGCGGGAGTGGGGAGGAGAGGGTCAATGGGGGAAAAATGAGGAACATCTGTAATACACTCAACAATAAAGATTAAAAAAATAAAGAAAGAAAAAGAAAAAAGAAAAAAAACAAAACAACCTGGGCTCTGGGACTGGGACCCAACAATCAATGTTTCTGTGCCTTCATTCCTCCCTTGCCCCAGCACACACAGGGGAAGCCCCACCACTTTTCTATGAACCCCTTTTCTTGGCCACAAGAGATTCAGTCTCTGCCTCTTGAGTGTGGACCTGGTTTACTTGGGCTGCAGGGGCATAGCAGGGGCATTCCATAGTTCTCCCAAGTCATCACTACTAGGCCCAGAATGTGTGCCCTGAGAGCAGAAAGGGACACTGAATGTTTCAAATCAATGAGGGCTGGGAGGTGTGCAAGTGAGATGCCACATAACATACAAGTGAGAACCTCACACTTCTGAGCTCACACTTAAGACAGAGGGGGCATTGGCCTCAGGAGGACCAGGATTCAGGGGTGGCTGGGTGCCTCACCAGGCTAGAATCCTTTTCCCGGGCCAGTTCAGTCTTGAGCACTTGATTCTGGGTCCTCTCCTCCTGAATTGCCTTTTCCAACCGAAGTATCTCTGCACTTAGCTTCAGGATCTTGTCCTTCTCTGCCTGGGAGATGGCCAGAAAGGAAAATAGGAGAATGAAGAAAAAGAGACTACATTGGCAATGGCACCATCCCTCACTGTGACCCTTCCTTTACATAACTAAATCTTTTGGGAGCGATTTCCCCTTCTTGCCTTCCTCATTCTCTCTAGGTCATGAATGAAGGAAGAGACCTGAAAGCAAGGCACCTTGCTGACCAGCAATGGTCATTAGGTCAAGGGTCTGGTGCCTAGAATGGTAAATGTTTCTGAGTCAAGATGGTAACCAAGGAAGGTGCTACAGAGATCAGGGTTGGGACACTCTATTTAGGGATGGGTCACACCTGGACAGTGAAGTGTTTCTCCCTCACAGCCCCTCCCCACCCCTAAGTCTTTAGAGGTTCCCACTCCCCCCTTTCTCTCCTCTTAGGAGATCTGACCATATAGAGGTAGGGGCAGTGGCTGTGAGCCTGCCAGGTCCCCTCATTCCTCTACCTCCACACTCTGCAACATCCCCGCCCGCTCCTTGCTCCACTGGCTTTTTTCCTCCTTCAAATGCAGACTGAGCTCAGCCAGCCTGCCATTGACTCCAGCCACTTCCAGGCGGCTGCGATGTAGTTCAGCTATGGTGCGGTCCCTGGCTCCTGCTGCGCTGGCCAGCTCCTCCCCAAGAAGGGCAGCTTTCTGCTGGCTTGAGGCTGCAAGTTCCTGGGCCCCTCGAAGCTGCTCCTTCAGGGGTTCCAGCTCAGCCTCCGAAGAAAGGAAGAGATGGAGATCAGGGCTCCCAGTGAGTCACTGTGAACCAGGAAGGTAGTAACTAGGCTACCTCCTCCCCCACCCTGCATTAGGACTCAGGATTAGGGTATTTAGTTAGTCGTGTCTTTCCCCAGACTTTGCCCTTGGAACTTTCTTTACTTCTTGTTGCCTAGGGGCTTCACTCACCACCCGCTGCTGGGTCTGGCCTAGGGTGTCCTTCATCTGGGCCAACTTGTCTTTTAGTCGCTGGGTCTGAGCAACCTGCTCCTCCTGCCAGCCCTTGGCCTCTTGCAGCTCCAAATTCAAGCGACGATTCTCCTGTTGTGCCATTTGGAGCTCAGCCTGATGGAGGTGGAGAGCAGGTAAAGAAAGGGGTATATGTATTTGGGGTGATAAGGAAGTTCCACTTCTCAGATTAAACATAAACTCAAGCATTCAGCTCTTGCAGTTCTTCTTGGGTTCTCAGCTCAAAGCGATTCAATCCTGAACATCCAGTCTCCATCTCCCAAAGTGAGCTATCCAACAACACAGCCTAGGGTCTTACAAAACTAGGTATCCCAAGTTCCATTTCTGCTTGCCCACTTTTGCTTTTAAATCAAAACTCAGTCTAGACGCCCTCTAGGCCCTGCAAACTCAGCATATTCTACCTCCCATTCTACACTAGGTCTTTCCACTCTTATTTCTGTCCATGGCTCAAACTAATTCCTTCGTCACTTAAGCTGTATACCCTGGTGCCATGCTTGGCTCTGTTCTCTCCCTAGCAGCCCACAGAAAAGCCTATTGCTTCTCCATCCTCCATCTTGTTCTCAGGCATTTTTCTCTTTTCTACTATCACCACAACCATGTTAGCTCAGGCTCTGGTCATTTCTTGCTTGGAGCGCTAAAAAAAAACCTCACAACTGCCTGGCCGGTGTGGCTCAGTGGTTGATCGTCGACCCATGCACCAAGAGGTCACCAGTTCAATTCCTGGTCAGGACACATACTCAGGTTGTAGGCCCAATCCCCAGTGGGGGGGCATGCAGGAGGTGGCCAATCGATGTTCTCTCTCATCGATGTTTCTATCTCTCCCTCTCCCTTCCTCTCTCTCTCTAAAAAAATCAATAAAGAAAAAAAAATAAAATAAAATGTTTCCATTTCCTTCTTGTTAAAATGCAATGAACTGTTACAATAGGCAGTTTATAAAAACAAAAAACTCACAACTAGCTCATTTTCTACAAGGCAATCAGATTAACCTTCTTTGAGTACATGTCACCTACTTGAAAATCATCAGTGCCTCTCACTGCTTACAGAATAAAGTTTAAACTCAAGACTGTCTACAATCTGACCAGAGTTTATCTCAACTCTTCACCCACACATTCACTTGCCCTGAGTGTTCTGGACTCTGAGCCTTATGTTCCTAGAATGGCCTCCCTTCATCTCTGTTTACTCAGATTCTACTTATTTTTTACTGCTGAGCAAATGGTTTCAAACAATCTTCCATAGACGCCTAGGGTTTTGAGGAAGCCATTTAGAGGTTCTGCAAATACTCATTTAAACTTAAAATATTTAAAAATATTAAAAATTTTGTGATAAAATGTACAAACTCACAAGTTAATACATTAGCGATCACCAATTCAACTCTAACAAAATACAGAAATACATTAGCTACTGAGGCTGACAGAATACTTACCTACAGCCTCCAATTTCAGTTTGGTATCCATCAAAATGACCTAATTGCTTTCATTACCACATATGTAAATGTTATACATTTGACTTTACAAATATTACTTTATAGTAATAAAATATTGCTTTTATTTATTCAATGAGGTTCCAAATAAGATGTGAAACTTCACTGGCAGATGGAACAGAAAGGGTTCTGCTGCTAAAATAATTTAGAAATACTAAGCTAGTTTACGTCCCTCTTTTAAAAGTCCTTTCTAATGTTCCTAACAAGATGTGCTCCCATTCACCTCTGTGGAGCATCATAACACTTTATTACATTTCTCTGTTGACACTTATTATATTCCCCTTTGACTAATCCTGATTTATGTGTATGACTTATGTTTCCTAGGAGAGTGTACACGTTTCTTTACATTTTTATCCGCTTTGGTGCCCAACAAACACTGGATGAACAATTGAGAAAGCACACCAGCCCTGAGCCCTTACCTCGCTTTGCTCCTTGTCTGCTTGCACTTCCTTTAGTTGCCCAAGGAGCTTCTCTTGTTCCCGAGTCAGGGCCTTCACTGTGTCTCTAACCCTGTGAATGGGGGATGGAAGGTCAGATAATCAACTGGTCACCAGAGAAGGAATGAAGGACTTGAACTTCTGTCTTTGCTCTTCTATTGGTGCTCCGCTGGGCCCAGACCTCCACTTCCCTCTGAGATGCCCAAATTCCCAAACCAAGTTCTAAGCTCCAAGTACCTAAGACTCCTGATTCTAGAGCACAATCTAGAAATAAACAGTTTTTTCTTCTCTTTTGTATTACTTTAAGGAGTGTTCTGTTGATGGCTCTCTGGTTGTTTTCACTAAGTCAAGAGACCAGAATCCAGCCTTTTCTAGACAAGGGATAGTCATTGTTGATTATAAACTTTTGGTCTAGGTTAGAAGTTGGCAAACTTTTTCTGTAAAAGGCCTAATAGTAAATATTTTTGGCTTTGCCTGGCTAGTGTGGCTCAGTGGATTGAGCACTGTCCCATGGGCTGAGAGGTCCCAGTTTGATTCCTGGTCAGGGCACATGCCTGGGTAGTGGACTTGATCCCCATTAGGGGACGTGCAGGAGGCAGCTGATTGATGTTTCTCTTTCACATAGATGTTTCTATTTTAATTATTGGCTTAAAAAAAATTTTTTTTTTTCTGAAATCAAGCTGAATGGAAGTCCTACAACTATGGAATTAAAGCAGCAGCAGCCACATCTAGACTGGTAGGAGGGGCGGAGGCAGACAGGCTGGTCCCACACCCACGTGTGGTGGATAAAAATCAGGGGGATACTTCGGCTGGGAAGGTCCTCTCTGAGGACTGAGGGGTCCCCATCCGACACCAGGCACCCCGCTCAGGGTTCCAGTGCCAGGAAAAGAAGTCCTCATAACTTCTGGCTGGAAAAACCAGAGGGAACTGAGGCTCAGGGAGGCTGAGGTAGCTGGAGCACCAGGCAGCTCCTCTTATAGGGCCTGTGATCGGACTCGGACTTATCGGACTCACTCCCTCTAAGCTAAAGGGGAGGCAGCTAGAGGGGCACCAGAGACATACGGGAAGAACTGAACTGTTTGGCATTGGGGCTTTCTCCAGGACAAACATGCTATCAGAGGCCTTTGTTCCTTTGGTGAGCCCTTCCCCGGGGATGCAGACAGCTACCATATCTGGGACTCCAGCAACCTGACTCACACTGGTTGCCCCGCCCTGGTGATTCTCTGAGGCCCCGCCCCACCCACTTTTCAGGCCCATCCAAGCTGTTGCCAGTTGCTTAACCATAAGATTGGCCTGCCTTGGATCCTGCTTCAGGTTTTCCTAAATTCTTTCAAACAAGCAGCATCTGGTCTCAGTGAGCCCCATACCTCTCGTTAAGTAATATATAAAAACAAACACAGGGAGGCAGCCAAAATGAAGAGACAAAGAAACACGTCCCAAATGAAAGAACAGAACAAAACCCCAGGAAAAGAACTAAGTGAAATGGAGATAAGTAACCTAACAGATACTGAGTTCAAAATACTGCTTATAAGGATACTCAATGAACTTAGTGAGAACCTCAGGGAACTTAGTGAGGGCCTTAAGAGCATAAAAAAGGACCAGTCAGAAATGAAGGATGCACAGTTGAAAAAAAGAGGCACTAACTGAAATAAAGAATAATTTACACAGATTCAATAGTAGAGTAGGTAAATCCAAGAAGCAAACCATTGTTTTGGAATATAAGAAAGCAAAAAAACACCCAATCAGAACAGCAAAAAGAAAAAAGAATCCAAAAAAATGAGGATAGTGTAAGGAACCTCTGGGACAACTTCAAGCATGCCAACATTTGCCAGAAGGAGAAGAGAGAGAACAAGAAATCGAAAACCTATTTGAAACAATAATGGCAGAAAACTTCCCCAACTTGGTAAAGGAAACAGACATACAAGTCCAGGAAGCACAGAGAGTCCCAAACAAGATGAACCCCAAGAGGCCCACACCAAGACACATCATCATCAAAATGCAAAAGGTTCAAGACAAAGAGAGAATCTTAAAAGCAGCAAGAGAAAAGCAGTTAGTTACCTACAAGGGGTCTCCCATAAGACTGTCAGCTGATTTCTCAAAAGAAACTTTGCAGGCCAGAAAGGAGTGGCAAGAAATATTCAGAGTGATGAAAAGCAAGAATCTACAACCAAGATTACTTTATCCTGCAAAACTGTCATTTAGACTCGATGGCCATAGAAAGAGTTTCCCAGACAAAGAAATTAAAGGAGTTCATCACCACCAAACCGTTATTATATGAAATGTTAAAGGGTCTTTTTGAAAAAAAAGATAAACTATATAAACAAACAAAATGGCAATGAATACATATCTATTGACAATGGAATCTACAAACAAAATGAACAGGCAGAACAGAAACATTCTCATAGATACAGAGAACATATTGTTGGTTGCCAGATGGAAGGGGGATTGGGGTAATGGGTGAAAAACATGAAGGGATTAAGAAGTACAAATTGGTTGCTAGACTGACAAACCTCAAAGGGAAGGGGATTGGGGGGTGAGAAGAATAAACCAAAGAACTTATATGCATAACCAATGGACACAGACAACAGTGTGGGAAAGGCAGAAGGGGGGCGGGGGTGGGGAGGAGGGTATCAATGGGGGAAAAATGAGGAACATCTGTAATACATTCAACAATAAAGATAAAAAGAAATTAAAACAAAATTTTTTTCCCCTCACTTGAGGACATTTTTGCATTTATCTTCACATAGAGTGGGAGGGAGAGAGGGAGTAAGAGGGAGAGGGAGAAACATCGATGTGACAGAAACATCGAGTGACTGCCACCCACACGACCCCAACTGGAGCCGGGAACAAACTGCAACTGAGGTACGTGCCCTTAGAGGAAACCGAACCTGGGCCTCTCTGGTCCGCAGGCCGATGCTCTAACTGCTGAGCTGAACTGGCCAGGGCAAAAAATTTTTTTTCTTTATTAATTTTAGAGAGAGAGGAAGGGAGAGGGAGAGAGATAGAAACATCGACGAGACAGAACATTGATCGGCCGCCTCTTGAATGCTCCCCACTGGGGATTCCACCTACAACCTGGGCATGTGCCCTGACTGGGAATCGAACCAGCGACTTCTTGATGCATGGGTCAATGCTCAACTATGGAGCCACACCGGCCAGGCTCACATTGATGTTTCTATCTCTCCCTTCTCTCTCTAAAAATATCAATAAAGATATATTTTAAGAAATATTTTTTGCCTGGCTGCTGTGGCTCTGTGGTTGAACATCGACCCATGCACCAGGAGGTTGCTGGTTCAATTTCCGGTCAGGGCACATGCCTAGGTTGTGGGCCAGGTCCCCAGTTGGGGGGTATGCAGGAGGCGATCAGTCGATGTTTTCTCTCATTGAGGTTTCTCTCTCTCTCTCCCTAAAATTAATAAAGAAAAAAAAATTAGAAAAAAAAAATAGGTCACAAATACTATATTTAAAAAGAAAGAAAGAGAGAAAGAAAGAGAGAGAGAAAGAAAGAGAAAGAAAGAAAGAAAATTAAAAAAAAAAAAATGGTGGGTTTTTTGCAGGCCATGTGGTTTCCATGGCAACCATTCAACTCTGTCTCTGTAGTGAGGAATCAGCCATAAATAATAAGTGAATGAGCCCGACCCGTGTGGGTCAGTGGTGGAGTGTTGAGCCATGCACCAAGAGGTCGCTGGTTCGATTCCTGGTCACGGCACATGCCGAGGTTATAGGTCAAATCCCCAGTGCAGGGCATGCAGGAGGCGGCCGATCGATGTTCTCTCTCATCGATGTTTCTCTCTCTCTCCCTCTCCCTTCCTCTCTCTCTAAAATAAAAAAAAAAAAAAAAAAAGTAGATGAGCGAGCATGGCTGTTCCAATAAAACTTTATTTATGAACACTGGAAGTTAAAAAACAATTTATTGCCCTGGCTGGTTTGGCTCAGTGGTTAGAGTCTTGGCTCTCAGACTGACAGTTGTGCATTCGATTCCCTGGCAAGGGAATCATACCTCAGTAGCAGGTTTGATCCCTGGCCCTGGCTGGGGTGGTGCAGAAGGCAACCAACTGATGCGTCTCTCTCACACTGATGTTTCTCTCTGTCTCTTTCTCTCTCTCTCCCTTCCACTCTAAAAAATCAATGGGGCCCTGGCTGTTTTGGCTCAGTAGTTAGAGCGTCAGCCTGTGGACCGGAGAGTCCTGGGTTCGGTTCCCACTAAAGGCACGTACCTCGGTTGTAGTTTGTCCCTGGCCCTGATTGGGGTCGTGTGGGTGGCAACCAGTCAATGTGTCTCTCTCACATCGATGTTTCTCTCTCTCTCTCTCTCTCTCTCTTCCTCCCTCTCTCCCTCTAGCTCTATCTGAAGATAAATACAAAAATGTCCTCGGGTGAGGATAAAAAAAAAAAATCAGCCCTGGCCGGTCGGGCTCAGCAGTTAGAGCGTTGGCCCGAGGACCAGAGAGTCCTGGATTTGGTTCCTATTAGGGGCAGTTTGTCCCTGGCCTTGGTTGGGGTTGTGTGGGTGACAACCATTCGATGTGTCTCTCTCATGTCAATGTTTCTCTCTCTCTCTCTCTCCTTCCTGCTCTATCTGACAAAACATGCAAATAAATGTCCTCAGGTGAGGATAAAAAAAATAAAAATAAAAATCAATGGAAAAATATCCTTGGGTAAGGATTAACAACAAAAATAAAAAAATGAAAAGTATCCTCGAGTGAGGATTAAAAAAACTGAATGACTGCTCTGGCTGGTTTGGCTCGGCGGTTGGAGTGTTGGCCTGCGGTTCAGAGAGACCGGGGTTCGGTTCCCACTAGAGGCGCATACCTCAGTTGCAGTTTGTCCCTGGCCCTGGTTGGGTTACACAGGTGGCAGCCACTCGATGTGTCCCTTTCACATTGATGTTTCTCTCTCTTTCTCTCCCTCCCACTCTATCTGAACAAAATATGGAGGAATGTCCTTGGGTGAGGATAAAAAAAAAAACAACTGATTGACTGACTGATCTGAAAGAGAGAGGGAGAGAAACACTGATTTGTTGTTCCACTTATCCATGCATCCATTGATTGATTTTTGTATGTGCCCTGACTGGGGACTGAACCTGCAACCTTGGTGTATTGGGATGACGCTCTAAGCAACTGAGCCACCCAGCCAGAGCATGAACACTGGAATTTTAATTCCACTTATTTTCACGTCAAAAATATTTCAACCATTAAAAACTATCAAAAGCATTTTTACCTTGCGGGTTGTACAAAACAGGTGGCAGGTCAGATTTGGCATGTGGGCCATAGTTTGCTGACCTCTGGTTTAGACAGTCCCTAATCTTTCCCAGATGCTCAGTTTGACCCCTGCTTTTCTATTCCATGATCTAGAACCTAGACATTTAGCCCTGGCCGGTTTGGCTCAGCAGTTAGAGCGTCCGCCTGCGGTCCGGAGAGACCCGGGTTCGGTTCCCGCTAAGGGTGCGTACCTCGGTTGTAGTTTATCCCCGGCCCTGGTTGGTCGTGCGGGTGGCAGCCACTCGATGTGTCCCTTTCACATCGATGTTTCCCTCTCTCTCTCTTCCTCTCTCTCCCTCCCACTCTGTCTGTACAAAAAATGGAAAAATGTCCTCGGATGAGGATAAAAAAAAATAAAAAAAAATAAAATAGAACCTAGACATTTAGTATCTCCCTAGGGCAAGACTAACTATCCTGGATTGAAAAAGCTTCAGGGAGCAAATCACTTTTTTTTTTTTATCTTCACCCGAGGACATTTTCGCATTTATCTTCAGACAGAGTGGGAGGGAGAGAGGGAGGAAGAGAGAGAGATAAACATTGATGTAAAAGAGACACTTTGACTGGCTGCCACCTGCACGACCCCAACTGGGGCCAGGGACAAACCGCAACTGAGGCACATGCCCTTAGTGGGAACCGAACCCAGGACTCTGGTCGGCGGGCCAACACTCTAACCACTGAACCAAACTGGCCAGGACGCAAATCACTTTTACTTTGGGCTTTGGACAGATGCCTCTTTCCTTTAAAGAGTTTGAAAAAATATACAGTCTATCTACCAGTACTAATGAAAGAAAATTGTGATTTGATGGAAGAAAGAACTAGAGTATTTCTCTAGAACAGGCTGAGGAAGAGGTCAATATTTGTGTTATTTGGTAGAAATAATAGTTGGCTGGTAGAAGAAAGAAATGTATTCTCTGTGGCTCCAGAGGTCTAAACCAAAGGGTAAAAGTTACAGAGTGGTAGAGCTTGAATTAACACAAAAGATACAAAAATGTCAGCTGTCCAACAGCAGAAGAGGCTGCCTCCCGAGGTAGGGGGCTGCCTCCCGAGGTAGTGATCTTCTTTACATACCCTCTTAAATACCTTACATTCCTCCCAATGCTAAAAATCTATGATTTAGCCCTGGCCGGTTTGGCTCAGCGGTTAGAGCGTCGGCCTGCGGTCCCGAGAGACCCGGGTTCGGTTCCCGCTAAGGGCACGTACCTCGGTTGCAGTTTGTCCCCGGCCCTGGTTGGTCGTGCGGGTAGCAGCCACTCGATGTGTCCCTTTCACATCGATGTTTCTCTCTCTCTTCCTCTCTCCCCCTCCCACTCTACCTGAACAAAAAATACAAAAATGTCCTCAGGTGAGGATAAAAAAAAAAAAAAGAAAAAAAAAAAAATCTATGATTTAATCCTTTTTTCAGGGGAGATTCCATAACATTTATGAATCACTAGTTCTATCACTTCCTAATAGTGAGAACAAAGTCTAAACCTTATTCTTTGCTGTGGTAAAATCTGAAATCCATCCTCTTACTTTGTGTTGATTGTTCTAGCCATTTTTTTTTTATCCTCACCCAAGGACATTTTTTCCCCCATTTTTTGTTCAAATAGAGTGGGAAGGAGAGAGAGAAACGTCGACGTGAGAGAGACACATCGAGTGGTTGCCACCCACACAACCCAACCAGGGCCAGGGACAAACTGCAACCAAGGTACGTGCCCTTAGTGGGAACCGAACCTGGGTCTCTCTGGACCGCAGGCCGACGCTCTAACTGCTGAACCAAACTGGCCAGGGCCATTCTCTTTTTTCAAATGTTCTCCTAGGTCCTGCTTAGCCTTTACTACGCAATAATTGGTAACTATGATTACTTCTGAAGGTGAGGAATACAGAACAAGTTAGGAAAGATGGAAGACAGCAAGGGAGAAAAAAGATATCCTCAGTCATTGAAATACCCTAAGTGAGGTTGAGAAAGGAAAGAGAAACCACCTGAGACAGAGAGTAGGTTTGCCTGCCTCAAACACAAAATGTAATGCAGTATAGAAGGTCCCCTCACCTGTCCAGTTCCACCTCCTTTGTCAGCACTTTCTCACTGATGGTCTGGATGTCATCTTCCAGTTCCAGGATGTGTGCCACATGGTCTCCCTGTTGCCGGCTCAAGATGTCCCTCTCCTCTGTGAGTTCCCCATGGGACCGAGAAAGCCCCTGGAATAAAGGTTCCCCCAGAAGAAAAGCTGAGGCTCATCTCAAAGAGTGGAGCAAAGACTTAGGAGGAATATACCAGAATTTGTTCCCACCCCCTTACCCAGTAACTTTCCTTGAAAAAGAAACTATAAGGGAAAGTCTCCTTAACAGTGAATACAGCCACCTCTACCCTACCTCAGCATTCCTGTGTTCAGAGAACTGAGTCTTTTACAAATCTGGGACATGTCTCCTGTCATATCAAGCTTGATCCCACTTGTTACACTTTAAACCTATTTCTCTGATGCCAGAACCATGAAAAGCCCACTACAATCTCCCCTTTATCCTCCTCACTGGGTTCAGATTTTGGACCTTGGGTGAGCAGCCAGGCCCTGTCCTCTCCCAGCCCAAATCCCACCTTGTACTGCTCTTTCAGCTCTGCGTGCTCCCGCCTGGCAGTTGCCAGAGCCGTCTCCAGCTCCTGCACTCGGCTCCTCAGCTCCATGACCTGTCCCTCCAGCTGCAGCTTCAGTTGCATCAAGTCATTCCTCTCTTGCTGGCTCTCATCCAGCTGGTTCTACAGGGGGCAGGATGAGAAGGGGATGTGCTTGTGAAACACCCATTCCAAGATCCCACCCCATCACTCTGCAATGCATTTCAGGGTTGGGAAGTTACTTCAGCATAGGATACTGTACCCTAACCCCCGCCCCCCACCAGACACACCAGCTTCAGGCACTCTTAACTGCCCACTCCTCTTTTTTCCTCACCCAAGGACATTTTTTTGCATTTATCTTCAGATAGAGCAGAAGGGAGAGAGGGAGGAAGAGAGAGAAACATCGACATGAGAGAGACACATTGATTGGTTGCCACCCATACAACCCCATCCAGAGCTGGGGACAAACCGCAACCAAGGCACATGCCCTTAGCGGGAACTGAACCTGGGACTCTCCGGTCCGCGGGCCGACGCTCCAACCCCTGAGCCAAACTGGCCAGGGCTCTTTTTATTATTATTATTTTAAATATTTTAATTAATTTTAGAGTGAGAGGAAGGGAGAGGGAAAGAGAAAGAGAAAGATCAATGTGAGTGCGCAACATTATTAGTTGCCTCTGTATGCACCCAACTGGGGATCCAACCCACAACCTGGGTATGTGCCTGACAAGGCATCTAACCAGCAATCTTTCGGTGCATAGGACGATGCTCAACCAGTTGGGCCACACCAGCCAGGGCCCCACTCCTCTTTTACTTCTTCCCACCTGAGGGCTGGCCCCTTCTTGGCTCAGCAATTGCAGGAATACCTCATCTGGTAAAAATCTTTCTCAATCCACACAGACAAAAGAGATGGCTCCCTTAATTTAAACCTATTGGTTATGGAGCCAGACATTGGGTTTAAATCTCCAATACAATTTTTATGAGCTATGAGACTCTGAACAAGTGACTTAACTTCTCTGAACCTCTGTGTTCTCACCCGTAAAATGATCCTTTGGCCTGGGTTGTTGTAAGATAATTATAATGAGAACAATAAATATAAAAACAGAATACAGTGTAAGAGCTTATACATCTCTGACTAATGTAAGACATAAATGTCTTGCCCTGGCCGGTTTGGCTCAGTGGTTAGAGTGTCGGCCTGTGGTCCAGAGAGACCCCGGTTCGGTTCCCGCTAAGGGCACGTATCTCGGTTGCAGTTTGTCCCCGGCCCTGGTTGGGTCGTAAAGGTGGCAGCCACTCGATGTGTCCCTTTCACGTCGATATTTCTCTCTCTCTCTTCCTCTCTCCCCCTCCCACTCTATCTGAAAATGGAAAAATGTCCTCAGGTGAGGATAAAAAAAAAAAAAAAAAGATATGTCTTCTTTCTTGTGTTGATTCCATGTGTTTACAGGGTTCTAGAGAGCTGGAGTTTATCCAAATCAAAGACAAGCTACTCATTCTCCTTATCTGACCTTCCTCCAGCCTGTCCTCTTCTCTGGGAGTGTACTTCCTCCCCACCTAGCCCTGGTCCTCACCTTTCTTCAGGAAGTCTCCCTTGCTAACATCTGCCTTTACTCCCTAATTCTTCTCTACTTAGTCCCACAGAAAAATAATACAAGCCACATATATAATTTAAAATTTTCTAGTAGACACTTAGAAGTGCTAATAAGAAACAGGTGAAATTAATTCTAATAATATGTTATCTAACTCAGTCTATCCAAAATATTATTTTGACGTGATCAATGTAAAAATTATGGAGATCTTTACACTTTTTAAAAAGACTAGGTCTTCAAAATTAAAGTCAGTATTTTATCCATACATCTCATTTTGGACCAGTCATGTTTCAAGTGCTCAAGAGCCACATGTGGGTAGCACCGCCAGTATTGGACGGCACAGGTCTGGAACCCTATCTATCTGTTCTCACTCCTCACCTGCTCTGAGACTGGGTTTCATCCTCCCCTTCCTCTGGTCTTTTCTTTCGTGAAGTGGCCTTCTTCTACCCTTTGCACCTTCTCCTAGGGCCTAGGGCAGGATGTAGCACTTGAAGAAGGAATGCTCAAAAAGTTCTGATGGAATCTTGAGTAATGTTGGCTTGTGGGTGGCTTGCTTTCCTGTCCTACATGTTTGTGTCTATGTTAGATTGAGACTTTCTTTTTTAAAAAAATTTTAAAAAATTTTTAAAAAATTGATATTAGAGAGAAAGAGGAAGGGAGAGGGAGAGAGAGATAGGAACATCAACGAGAGAGAACATCAACTGCCCTCCTCCTGCATGTTCCCCACTGGGGATCGGGCCCACAACCTGGGTATGTGCCCCGACCGGAAATCGAACCAGCGACCTCTTGGTGCATGGGTTGACGCCCAACCACTGAGCCATACCGGCTGGGTGGATTGAGACTTTCTTGAAGGCAAGACTCTGTGTAACTCCCAGTGAGGTCTCCACTTGAAATTATAGCCTAGGAGAGGGTGCAGCGGGAAGGGGCCCGTTGCAATGCTGTCCTCTCACTTTCATGCCCAGGAACAGCTCTGTTATTCTGTTCTCACCTGCAGCACCGTTGCCTTGGGGACAACCAGCAGGATGTCAGAGCCACCATCAGTCTCTTCGAGAGTCACCAGTTCATCCATGGGCCTTGGCTCTCGGAACTGGAAAGCGGGGCTCTGCCCACACACCCGGCCCTGGCGGTTCACATATCGGAACTGGTAGAGCTGGGCTCCCGGTTTGGGCAGGTAGCTGGCTGTGGGAAGAAGAATGGACCCAGGACCATAGTATGGTCCCAGGCCCTCCAGTGCTCAGCAGGTCCCCTTGGTATCTTTTATTATCCACTGTCTTTGGCTCTGGCCCCTTGCTCCTTGTTCCATACTCTTTTTTCTCTCCTCTCCACTGCCCATAGGCTATTTCTGTTCCCTGGGATACTCTTCTCTCTTCTCTCTCCTTTCTGCCTAGTCCTTTTCTTCCTCTCTTTCCCAAATCTACCCTACATAATAATAATAATAATAATAATAATAATAATACCAGTTGCTATTTATTGAATGCCCACTATGTACCAGGCACTGTGCTAACAGTTTTTCCTATATCATTTAAAAGCCTTTTATTATCTCTATTAACCAGGCATTCCCTTTTAATGTTAAAATAACAGACAGAGAGGTTGAGTAATTTGCCCAGTGTTAAACTGCTTGTAAGTATTAAAGCTGAGATTTGAACCCGTCTTGCAGAATCTAATGATTACCTTCTCAATATATGACACCACCTTTCCCTCTTCCCTACCCTCTAGTTCCTCTTTCTTTCAGTAGGAGGTGGGATTAGTTGCACTGTACAGTTCCTTCCATCTCTATGTCCTTGATTCTGTGATAACTCCATGTCTGCTGAGCCTGTTGCATATTATTTTATTTGCACTTATTTTTCCTTGTTCTCTATGCCTAACCTTTATGTTTCTAAGTCCACTTCATTTTTCCAAACCTCCATCCCCTTGATTCTTCCCTCCCAGTTCTCTGTCTTCCCTTGTACCTTGGAACTGGACACTGGCATGGATGGGGGAACCATCAGTTGCACTTTCAGGCACTGAAGACCACACAAATGTGTGGTAATCCCGAACACAGGCAGCCTCCACCTGTGAAAGTCCAAGGTGAGAGAGGGTTATGGTGATGGAACTACCAGCTATAGATGGTAGAAAGGGCTGAGGGATGGAATGGGGAAATAGGATGGTGTTTCAGTGGTAAGGATGATGAAAGACAGGGAAAGTGGGGGGATACTAATATGTCAAAAGAAAGTAAGGCTGCCCTGGCCAGTTTGGCTCAGCGGTTAGAGCGTTGGCCCATGGACCAAAGGGTCCCCAGCCCTAGTCAGGGTGATGCGGGAGGCAATGAGTCAATATGTCCCTCTCACATCGATTCTCCCCCCCCCCCACATCACTCTGATAAATGGAAAAAGTATCCTCAGGTGAGGATTTTTTTTTTTTTAATGCAGTCCCCCACTACCACAAATTATACAGTCGAGTTTGCCACATTTGGGGAAATCGCAGGGGTCAGCACATCTGGAGTGCAATGGATAAGCTTTGCCCTGGGAAAACAACCTTCGTGATCATGGTATCTCCCCTGCCAGGTAAGTATCTCAGGTGAGGATTTAAAAAAAAGAGAGAGAGCAAGGCTAAGATGGGAAGAAGATGAGCTTTGCTTATATAGATGGAATCTCATCTGTGACATCTTTTTTGCTTCCTCTTATATCAACTTGAGGTTGAAAATCCAAGAACCTAGTCAGTCTCCCTATTCCAACCAACCCATGGCCAATAAACTTGAATCAAAAGGTTCTAGGTATACCTTGAAGATACCAATCCAGTCGCTGGCACTGGGTACGGTGCCTGGGGGAAGGGTATAGTGACATTCCACCTTGGTGTTGGGGATGTAGGTCCGGGCCACATTCAGAAAGCTGACTCCACCCCGAGATGGTACTCGGCTTACTGATGAGTCTTCCATTTTTCCCTTGAGATATGTGCCCTCCTACGAAAAAAGGGTTAATATCTTAAAGTCTCTCCACTCCATTTTTTTCTCTCCAACTCCATCCCACTCCACATAGCCTCTGCCACTATACCTAGAGATGAAGTCATATTTAGTATCTAGTCCATGAGGGCTACAGGACCCTTTTAGAGATGTCACTTTTAGTTTACAGGTCATAAATCTGGCCTTCCATGTCAGTCCTGGTCCTGTCTCACACTACATCCACTCCAAGTCATAAAATCTTCCTAGAGTTAAGGTCTCTCTCATTTCTGCTCCCTTTTCACTGCCCCATTGATCAAATCTCACTATTCCAGGCTCTGTCCTCCTCAGTCCCTCTTTTTTCACCTCTTAACATCCTTGAGAATTTCAAAATCTTTAGCCTCCATGTCTATATCCCATCCCACACATCATCTGTCTCTGGAATTAAAAATCCAACTGAGGTGTGGGGTCCCCTCATTCTGATCAGGTCTCCTTGTGTACTCCTGAACTTGTTGACCCAACCGTACACAGGAATGACTATGACACCTGGAAATAGCAATCTCTGAAAGTAATGACTGCATCTTCAGAGCTAAAATATGGCTTGGGGAGTGGAGGGGGGGAGAGCAGCTATAGCTCAATCCTCAGGCTCCTGAGCTCTCACCATCCCCCCAGCTGTCTAACACCATGAATTAAACAACAAAACAACACAAAACAACTTCACTCTCATCTAAAAGACATAGGAAAAGGGAGGATACAAGGAAAGACAAGTTCAGTCCTTAACTTCATTATTCCAGGAAGTCAAGAATTCTGGAGGCGGCTGCTACAGGGGTGGAGTGAAACACTCAGCAGGAACGTGGTGGTGTGGGGAGATGGAATGTGGGGGCCTGGAGCCAGGAAAGCCCCACCTCTGGGCAGGGGACAGACTGGAAGGTGGCAAGTAAGGAACCTTGAGAAGGGGCAATGTATATATAATGTTGAAAGAAGGAAGAGATAGTTCAAAAAGAACTTAATATTCTTCTCTTCAGGTCCTGCCTAAAGTAGGACTAGAAACTGACAGGTCTGACTATAGGCAACACAGCTCCAGTGTTTCCCTCCCCATCTCTCTCTGCTCCCCTTAGCCACAATTCCACGTGCTGAATTCCTCCACTCCTCCATCTGCTTGGATTGGTAGTTGGAAGCACACTATAGGATGAAATTGAGAGGAAGAGGTGTTCCAAGTTAGGTGGGGAGAGTTAACTGGAAAATATGGGGGTGTGGTGAGGAAAGAGAACAATAACAAGCAAGAAAATTCCTCAGCCCAGGGCTGTGACATGGCCCTCCTCATCACCCCTCTCTCGCCAACTAATCTATATCCTGTGTCAGCTACAGCTGACTGCCTCCAATCAGCCATAGCCATTAGTCATGTGCACACCCCCAAACATCACAAACTCACACCAGAGTGAAGTAAAGGGGATAGTAACTTTAAAGGAAGACAGGCACTCAGTAGAGCAAGAAAGGTGGGCCAACTCTACAAAAAGGAGCAACTTTTACTTCCAAAATAGAGACTAAATCAAGGGAAAAAGATTTCTTTGGATTTTCATCTCTCTTAAAATCCCTACTTAAAACTAGTTAATGTCTTCTCCAAATACAATTATTTGGCTTCTAAGGGGGGATAAATTATCTCAAAGATCTAAGTCTGGAAATCCCAAATACTTGACACAAATAAATCCTTAACAGTTGGAAACATTCCCCAGGCCTGAAAGAGCGATCTGGGTACCTAAGGTGTCTGTGTGCAGCCAAACTGAGGTGTTCGCATGGTGGGACACCATCACTCCACTCCGTAGGGCTCCAGAGTTCCTTGACATTCTACACCTTGGAAGGTCTCCCCCACCCCCCGCTTTTGGATTGAAGAGGGGTGTGGGGGTGGTAAGGGGAAAGGGAAGGTTTGTGAGGGCCAAGTCTTGTATGGGGGAGAATGAGCCAAGACTTCAGCCTCCCCCCAGCTCCTTTAAGCGTACCAAGCTTTTTAGAGAAGGACAGAGGAAGGTGAGAACAGTGAGGGAGGCAACCTTTGATCAGGGCCCCCTTGAGACCAAGAACACCCAAAACAGTGGGGGTGGCTTCTTCAGTACGGAAAATAAAATCCAAACGCTTTTTGCATCCCCCTTCTATAGTGCCCTTAGCTAATCTTTTTACAGACTGGAAAGTTGGGTGGCTCCCCATAAGATCCCCCCAGATTAGGCCAAGTTTCTTACCCCACAGACGGATCAGCTGTTCCCTCACCTTTCACCAACAACAAAAACAGCACTCCGACTCCGAGAGGGGAGGGAGAAGAGTGGGCGCGAGGACTTCTGGGGGTTGTGGTTCCTTTACCGGTTTTTGCTGGCGAGCCAACTTGGATCTGGAACTACATATCCCAGGAGGCCATTGAGCAAGGAGGGCGGAGTGGAGAGCAGTCGTGGCGGCGGCCTCATCATTGCATTCTGGGAGGCGTAGTTCTCGCTTGCAGGATAGCAAACGAGGGTGTGGCCATCAAAAGACTTCACGGCCCATGATCCCTTAGGAGGGGGCAGGCTGTATTAGTGGTGACTGCTGGTTTGTAACGTGCGTAGTTGGGGGATGGGGAGGGGTTACGGCTCTAACGCTCTCTGTGTAATACTTTACAATGGGCCGGCCGAACGAGTTCAAATGCACTCTCGTTTGCTTTTAACAACGAAGTGTGAGATAGGTAGTATTGTTTTCCACACTTTATACAGGAAGAAACTAAAGTTCAAAAACGGTTAAGGAACCAGTCTAAAATATCAAAGTTATGAGATGATAGAACACCAGGATTGCATGACTCTCTTAAGTGCAGTGTTCTTGCCACGACTTCACAACTACCTGCCATTTAAGGGATGGGAAACTAACAGCTGTGCTAGCAGTTTCGTCTTTGTTTCAACCTCGGGGACAGTCCCTGTAAAAACTGCATGTCGTGCACCGCTAGTACCCCCCCCCCCCCCCAATTTGAAGGTTTCAGTGAAGGGCCTGGCAATACACTCCTCGACTGGGCTCCCCTCAAGTGACCTCTGGGTCTAGGAAGAGGGTCCATTGCCTGAGGGGAGGAGGTGGGGTTGGAGGTGGGCTGGAGGAGGTGAAGTAGAAGCAGGAAATTGGAAGGGGAGCCTGACATAATTCAGGACCAGTCACAACTCACAAACAAGCCACTTACAGGGGCCAGTTTGCCCAAGCCTTTTAACTGGCTTAAATTAATTAGGATAACAATACATGTTGTTGCTCCTGTTTTAACTGAGGAGAGGTGAAAGATTCACACTCCTCCCATAGCTCAAGTTTTGTTAGATTTAGGCATCCTGTCCCCCACCTGGTCCTGGACCCTCCGAGTAGTCTGAGGCATTCTGAATGACCTCTCTCCCCGACTCCATATTAGGGGCTTACAGTCTAATGAGTGATTTGTTCTTTCTGGGTCCCTGCATTTTCCAAGTTGTTCGGTAGTATTTTTTTAGTTTTCATGACTGAATAGGGTGTCTGGTGCCTGCCCTTTCATCTGAAGATCTCCAAGCACTTAACTATAAGTCACTGGGCTTCACAAACACTAAGGAGGACATCTGTGTAATTAGTTAGGATTTATGAGTTACAAGTCACTGGATGAGCTCAAGGTCCTGGGGTAAGTTAAGAGTGAGGCCAAAAACAAAACAAAAAAAGACTTGCAAAAAAAAAAAAGAGTGAGGCCTGTTCAGGGACCAAAGTTCCAAGTGTTCTTGATTTATGTCTTACACCCAGAATAAATGCTTGGATGAAAACGCAGTCTGTCTCAACTGGAGCTAAAAATAATAACTTCCATTTATTGGGCACTTACAATGTGTTTAAAGTATACGAAGAGGTGTTCTGTTTAATACAATAATGGCCTTATATAGTAGCCCCCCCCCCCCAAATTATTTTACATATGATGAAGAATGAGGGCACAGATAATTAAGTGATTTACCTAGGGTCATCCAACTAGTAAATGGTAGAATTAGGATTCAAGCCTAAGTAGTTGGTACACCATAGTCATTAGTAGGTACACCATACTCTCACCCCCAAATCTCCTGATATGTGATACTAAATTCTATTGCTCTAAGGAACCAAACTGTACTATTAATTAATCAGGGAACAAATGTTTACTGGGTATTTATGTGCAAGGCGTAAGGTGGTGTGAAACAGATTCATTTGGTAAATATATGTCAGGTACTAGGCTAGGTAGTCATTAAACTTTGTTGAAAGAATGAATATAGATATTTGCAAGATGGATTAGATTTAGATAGTTTGCAGGACCAAGTCTAGGAAGGATGAGCTTATTCCAGGCTGAAGCAAAGATTCAGAGGTGGAAATATGTAATGTTTAATGGAGTCTAGGAGGTCACTTAAGAACAGCACAGCCCAGCTGGTGTGGCTCAGTGGTTGAGTATTGACCCATGCACCAAGAAGTCGCCGGTTCGATTTCCAGTTAGGGCACATGCCCAGGTTGTGGGCCAAATCCCCAGTGGGGGACATGCAGGAGGTGGCCAGTTAATGTTCTCTCTCATCAATGTTTCTCTCTCTCTCTCTCTCCCCCTTCCTTTCTCTCTGAAAGCAATAAAGAAAAAAATTTAAAAAACAACAAAGAACAGCACATCAATTTTAACTTTCTTTTCTTTCCAAACTCAGGTTATTGGTAATGACTGCCTGAAATGTTGTGTTGAGAAGGTTTGGGAAGAAAGAATTCTGGGATTAATTAATAATGTCTGTCATGTACTTAGATAGAAGATAGCAGTTGTATCATGGTACTGGCATATAGATCAATGGAGGAGAACAGAGAACCTGGAAATTGACCCAAGACGTTATGCTCAACTAATATTTGACAAAGGTGGCAGGAGCATACAATGGAGTAAAGATAGCCCAGTTGGAGTGGCTTGGTGGTTGAGTGTCGACCCATGCACCAAGAGGTCGCTGGTTTGATTCCTGGTCAGGGCACATGCTCAGGTTGTGGGCCAGATTCCCAGTGGGGGGCATGTAGGAGTCGGCCAATCAGTGTTCTCACATTGATGTTTTTATCTCCCCCCCCTAAAATCAAAAAAGGAAAAACAACAACAACAAAAATCAAATGGAGTAAAGACAGCCTCTTTAATAAATGGTGTTGGGAAAACTGAACAGCTACATGCAAAAAAATGAAACTAGACCACCAACCTACACCATACACAAAAATAAACTCCAAATGGATAAAAGACTTAAATGTGACTCATGAATCCATAAAAATCCTAGAAGAAAATGTAGGCAACAACATTTCAGACATCACACACAGCAGAATATTCACTGATACAATGCCTAAGGTAAGAGAAACAAAGGAAAAAATTAATACATGGGACTACATCAAACTAAAAAGCTTCTGCACAGCAAAAGAAACAACCATCAAAATGGAAAGGGAACCCACCAAATGGGAGAGCATAATTGCCAACGAAACATCAGATAAGGGGTTAATTTCCAAAATATATAGAGTACCATACAACTCAACAAAAGGAAGACAAAGAACTCAATTAAAAAATGGGCAGATGACCTAAATAAACATCTTTCCAAAAAGCACACACAAATGGCCAACAGACATATGAAAAAATGCTCAACGCCACTATTCATCAGAGAGATGCAAATTAAAACAACTATGAGGAATCACCTCACACCTGCCAGAAAGGCTGCCATCAACAAATCATCAAACAACAAATGCTGGCAAGGATGTGGAGAAAAGGGGATTCTAGTACACTACTGATGGGAATGCAGACTGGTGCAGCCACTATGGAAAACAATATGGTATTTCTTCAAAAAATTAAAACTCGATCTGCCATTTGACCCAGTGATCCCACTTCTAGGAATATGCACCAATCAGAAAGAATATATGTACCGCTATGTTCATAGCAGCACTATTTACAATTGCTCAGATCTGGAAACAGCCCAAGTGTTCATCAATAGATGAGTATATAAAAAAGCAGTGGTACATATACACAACGGAATACTATGCAGCAGTAAGAATGAAAGATCTCTTATCCTTTAAGACAACATGAAGGGATCTGGCTAAGTGAAATAAGCCAATCAGAGAAAGACAAATACCACATGATCTCACTTATTTGTGGAATATAATGAACAAAATAAGTTAATGAACAAAATAGACCCAGAGACATAGAAAGGAGTACAGTTCAGACTGACAAACTTCAGAGGAGGGGGTTGGGGGAGGTGAATGAGATAAACCAAAGAACTTATATGCACATATGCCTAACCAATGGACATAGACAACAATGCTGGGGTGGGGAGGGGAAAAAGGAGAAACATCTGTAACAAAAATAAATTAATAAACATTGCAAAAAAAAAAAAATAGCAGTTGTAATAGATTGACTTACTGTTTGAAATTATTCACTTCCTTGCCCATTGCCGTGTGTATCTCCTGAGTATATGTCTCATTTCACTGACTTTGGACTTGCTCACGTTACATATTTTGGCCAATGGGATGTGAATAAATGTGACTTATACCATGTTTGAGAATGTGTTTCCATTTTCTTCTCTGCCACTTGAATGGGCATATTCCACAGGAGACTTGTTCCTTCTACTTGAGTCCTGAAATCAGAAGACCCATAGAGTAGAACGGCAGCCTGCCCACAACCTACGTAAAAATAAGTCAGAAATAAATCCTTTCCCTGGCTGGTGTGGTTCAGTGGTTAGAGCGTTGGCCCATGCATTGAAGGGTTGAGGGTTTGATTCCTGGTTGAGGACATGTTTGGGTTGCAGGTTCTATTCCCAGCCCCCAGTCAGGGTAGGTGCGTGTAGAAGGCAACCAATCAATGTGTCTCTCTCATATTGATGTTTCTGTCTCTCCCCCTTCTTTCACTCTCTCTAAAACCCAATGGAAAAAATATCCTCTGGTGAGGACTAACAACAACAACAACAACAACAACAAAAAGACAAAAATCTTTGCTGCTGTAAGCCACTGAGATTTTGGGATTGGTTGTTACTGCAGCAAAGCTGACTAATAACCATAACTGGAAAATGGTATCAACTTTGAAAGAGCAAGTTTGAAAGGTAAGTGTAAGCCAGAGTGTGGAGAAATCCTGAATGCCATGTGAGGCAGAGCCTGCTATGTGTTCACCAGAATCTCTTTTCTTCTTTTCCATTAAAAAATTTTTGTTTTCTTTATTAATTTTAGAGAGAGAGGAAGTTAGAGGGAGAGAGAGATAGAAACATCAACAAGAGAAAACAGATTTTCCACCTCCTGCATGCCCCCCACTGGGGATTTGGCCCACAACCTGGGCATGTGCCCTGACTG